GCCCTGCACCCTCCCCTATCTCTCCAGCCTCCCTTCACTGCCCCAGCATCCTCCCATCACTGTCCCAGCACCCTCCCGTCACTGTCCCAGCATCCTCCCGTCACTGTCCCAGCACCCTCCCGTCACTGTCCCAGCATCCTCCCGTCACCGTCCCAGCATCCTCCCGTCACCGTCCCAGCACCCTCCCGTCACTGTCCCAGCATCCTCCCGTCACTGTCCCAGCATCCTCCTGTCATTGTCCCACCTCCCATCACTGTCCCAGCATCCTCCCGTCACTGTCCCAGCACCCTCCCGTCACTGTCCCACCCCCTGTCACTGTCCCACCTCCTAGCCCTGCTTCATAGGAACTGAGGAATTCTCTCAACTCACTGCCTCTCGTTTTTTATGCTTTTCTTTTGACAACATTCCTGCCTCAGATTCCAGCCACAATCTATTCCAGTGGTTCTCATTTGCCCCAAATTCCCCCAGCCCCCTTGGGGCACTGGTAATTTCTGGAGACACTTTTGGTTGTCACAACATTGGAGGCAGTGAGTCCTATTGAGACAGGGTCTCATACATTCCAGATTATCCCGAATGACCTTGAAACAGTGGTCCTCCATCTTTTTAAACTGCAGGTTGTGTCCGCATGTGAGGTCATGTAACTGAACATGAAGGTTTGAAAATGTTGGCTGGAGTGAAAGGTGTCTGGATAGACAGCAGCCAAAATGAATTCAGAATCTAATGGACAGTGAATCTTAGATGTTTTTTTGGTAGTGCCTGCCCGTGTTGCATTGCACAACTGCATGGCAGTCTTGGTTTTGGACCCTGTGTTGCTGTCATGCCAAGCAACACCAACAAATATTGATTCACACACCTTGGTTCAGGTTTGAGATTAATGTGCTAGGAATTGCAGTGTTTTTTTTTTTTTTCCCACTTGCTTGCTGTGAAGTTTAGGAGAAATTATTCCTCTACAAGCAAATGGAGGTTATCTAATAATAATTACCCATACCTCAGAAAGTTGTCTTGAGAAGTGAGATTATACATACAGCACACTTAGGTTATGCCCAACAATTGCTGAAAAAGCATCAATGTTGATTGAAAGAGAACATTCTGTTGGTTTGACTGTCAGGAAACCTTTCTGTTGAGGTTCTCCCTATTCAACTTTAAGACCATTGGTCAAAAGAGTCCTTTCTAAGTGGCTCATGCCCTATAACCCAAGCATTAGGGAGGCAGAGACAGTGGGATTCTTTGTTGGAGACCAGCCTGGCAACAAGGGAAGAGGCCTTGATCAACAACAAAACTCCCTCTCACCATGGATACAGTTCAAAGACTGTATCAGCCTTGGTGTGTGGGAACCCATCAGACTCGTTCTGTGATTGCTGTGATCAAACCTAAGGAAGCACTTTCACACTTTTGCAGATATGATTTAGAAATGAGGTGGGATGTGCCGGGCGGTGGTGGCACACACCTTTAATCCCAGCACTCAGGAGGCAGAGGCAGGCGGATCTCTGTGAGTTTGAGACCAGCCTGGTCTACAAGAGCTAGTTTCAGGACAGCCTCCAAAACCACACAGAAACCCTGCCTCGGAACCGCCACCCCCGCCCCCCCCAAAAAAAAAGAGAAAGAAATGAGGAGGAATGGATGAACAGAAAATACATCCAGAAATACCGGCCCATTAATTCCAGCTCTTAGCTCAGCATCCCATGACTTTTTCCTCCTGAGTTCTCACCGTGTGTGCTAATAAAGTAGTAACATTTACTGACATACTGGACATGCATATTGACATACATACTGGACACTGCTCTGAGATCTTTGCATGTGTTAACCAAATGTTCACACAAACTTACAAGGAAGGTATGGTTATTAACATCAGCATTTTTACAGTAAGAAACCGAGATACAAGGGGCTAACTCAGTGAAAAATCCATGGCAGAGCTTGGGTTTGCAATAGCCATTCTGGCCCTGGAGCCCACCGTCCCAATCACCTTACCACACTGGCCAGCAAATCCTATTTAAGCCGGTTTAAACCTAGTGTTCTATCTTGCAATGGAGGGAGACCCTCCCGCCCCTTACCTGGAAAAGACTCAGCTCCCAGAGGCTTCTCCTCTTCTGGCCATCCTCCGCTTTCTGAACCTTGGAAAGAAAACTCTTCTAGGCTGGAGAGAGACTGCAGCTCTTTGGGGGGTGTTCTGCACGGGGTGCTGTTGGTGCTGATGACTGCAGACACGCGGAGTGGCACCGACACAGCGAAGGGCTCAGAGATGTTGAGCGCCTTTCGCTGGTGGCGCGGTGAGGGCTCCATCTGGAACAAGCTGCTGGTGAAGACGGATTTGCCAGGACTGTCGCTGGAGGTGTAGAACATTCCCAGAAGCTTTGGGGCAGCCTGCTCGCTCTCAGGATCCCCGATGGGGCGGAACACTTTCAGCTGCTCAGGCAGGGGCCTGATCTGACCGCTCACCTCACAGCCCCCCTCAGCCCCTGCCGGCATCCCCTCCTGACCCCATTCACTCTCCTTGCTGAGATCACAGGAGCTGCCAGTGCTGCTTGTGTGCATTTTTGTGGCTGGAATGAAAAATCCACCGGTGGTGACTGTTCGATTGAAATTTCCTTTGCTTTCTTTTCCTGGTGAAGAAGAGCAAGCAGTGGTTAGCATCCTGGGTGTGCACAGACTGGGAGTGCACTTTTCTTGAAACTTGAAGCTGGGCCTGATGGTTGTTTAACAAAAAGTGGAAGGGATATGAGCAATTTGTCCATCAAGGCTAGAACTGCTAGTACAAATGTCAATCCTGTTGTTTGGAGACTGTTATCAACTCATATGTAAACCATTCCAACAGGGAATACACAGGAATACCCAACTATGCTGGCTTGGTTTTTGTCAACTTGACACAAGCCTAGATTGGGAAGGGGACTCTCAATGGAGAAGAATGCCTCCATCAAACTGCCTAGAGGCAAGCCTGTGGAACATTTTCTTAATTTAGTGATTGACGTGGGAGGGCTCAGTTCACTATGGGTGGTGCCATCCCTGGACAGGTGGTCCTGGGTTGTATAAGAAAGCAGGTTGGGCAAGCCATGAGGAGCAAGCCAGTAAGCAGCACTCCTCCATGGTCTCGGCTTCTGTTCCCGCCTCCAGGTTCCTGCCTTGACCTCCCTGAGAAAGTTGTAAGATTAGACTCCTTTCTCCCCAAGTTAATTTTTGTCATAGTGTTTTATCACAGCAATGGAGAACCTAAAACATCAATCAGTGGTTACTGGCCTAACAGTTCAAAATGATGATGAAGCTGTGTGAAACTCGTGGCCAGGAAACTCACAAATTCAAGACAGATAATCATGGGGAAAAAAACCAGTGTTTGGCTCTTTTTGTCTAGGTTCCCTCTGTCTTAGTTTTTAGCTTGCTGACTTTAATGTGGTCTAATTTTGAGTGAAAAGTCCCTGTGGTCTCCTACGTGGCTAGAGGAAAGCTGGAGAAAGGGAAGGTTCTAGGTCTTGTTTGAGATGAGACAGGGAGTGGCCTGGGGCTAAGTGGTGGATATAAACATAACTGCAGGTAAGCGGCTGGGCACTAATTGTAGAACCTCAGTGTGGTGATTTGAAAGAGAAGGCTCCCCGTAGGCTCATACATTTGCACACTTAGTCCCTAGCTGGTGGACTGATTAGAAAGGGTTAGGAGGTATGAACTTGATGGAGGAAGTACATAAGTGGGGGTGGGCTCCTTCCTTCCCTCCCTCCCTCCCTCTCTCCTTCCCTCTGTCGGCCTGTGAATCAGGATGTAAAGCTCTCAGCTATTTCTCGAGCACCACACCTGCCTGTGTGCCATCCTGCTCCCTGCAATGATGATCACAGACTATCTGGAACTGAAAGCAAGCCCTCAATTGAACGCTTTCCTTTATAAATTGCCTTGGTCATGGTGTCTCTTCACAGCAATAGAATAATAACTAAGACACTCACCTTCCACAGGCACTGAACACAGCGAGTCCATGCTTTTAGCTGGCCGGATAGTAGCCTTTTCCACTAAAGATAAGAGGAAAAAAAAATACCCCTGATGAGTGCATATCAAGAAGAAACATTCAGAACAATAGGTCAGGCTATAAGCATATAAGGAAAATTTCCGGAAAATTGTTTCAAGCAGTCATAACATTATCTCCTTACAAAATTGCCTCCAGTCCACTCTACATGTTCCTACTTTCCTAATGGTGACTGACCTTATGACAAGGGGGCACAGACTGGCTTTATTAATACTTTACAAACAAAGGTAAATTGTAATTTTGTCAAATAAGAAGTCCTGAATCCTGTTTAATTGCACAAGACGTGCTCAAGGAATTGGAGCAATGGCTTAGTGGTTAAGAGCTCTGCTCTTTCAGAGGACCTGGGTTTGGTTCCCAGCACCCATATGAAATCTCACAACTGTCTGTAACTCCAGTCCTAAGTGATCTGACGCCCTCTTCTGACCTCCCACGTACTGCATGAACACAGTGTACAGACATACATTCAGACAAACATCCATACACATAAAATAATAAAATAATTTTTAAAAAGTACTCAAGATGAATTCATGGGGTAGATTCTAAGGGACCTGGGAAACCTCTCCTATCTGGCAGACTGGACAGCAGGCTTGTTGGCTACAACCACAGCTAGCACACCAGGAATCTGGTACATCAAGCGAGAAGGTTTGGGGGTGCAGCCATCAGCTTTTCCCTGGGGGCTATGCTCTATGGAATTTGTAGACTGGTTGTTCCTCACCAACCAGGCCCCCCAATGAACAGATCTCCACCACACTGGAATCTCTTTGAACACTGACTGTGCACCTAGTATACATTATGCACCACTGCAAGCTACCATAGATGGGGCTTGGGGAAAGTGTTGGTTTAAATGACTCAAAAACCCATCCCTGGCACAGGAACAGGCACTGCTGTGGTAGGAGTTTGGTCACAAACTGTTCATAGGTTGGAAACATAGCTCTTCAGCACATCAGGGTTGGGGGGTGTTGGGTTATGGGGGCAGAGACCTCACAAATGACTTAATGACTTTCTTGCCGGGGTGGGATAGTGGCTGCAAGAGGCCTGTCCTTCTCCAGTCCACATTTACGTGTCTCCATTCTTCTTCTACCACACACTGAAGTCGCAAGAGACTCCCATCAGAAGTCAGGAAGATGTCAGTATGGGCTCTTAGACGTCCTAACCTGTAGAACTTTTAACTACTATTCTTCATAAGTTACCCAGCCTCGGGGATTCTCTTACAGCAAAGGAAACAGGATTAGGACTGATATTCCTTCCAGGTCAAGCTTTCAAGGAGGAAGACAAGAACCTGGAAGGTAAGGAGTGCAGGACTAACTGACATTAAGGTAACTCTGTATGTACACAGATCCTGTTTGAGTCACCTCTGGCCTCGAACTCGCAGAGATCCACCTGCCTCTGCCTCCCAAGTGCTGGAATTAAAGGCCTTCAGCACCATTCCCAACAGATTATACCTTTTCCATGTATAAAAGACACCAGAGTTGTTAAGACTAACTGAGGAATGAGTATAAAGTAATTGTGTTGTTCCAACTAGAATAGATACTCAATTAAAAATAACACACGGTGAGTTCCAGACTGGCTAGGGCTACATAGTGGGAACCTGTTTTATGAAACAAAACAAAACATACTGCTTATGACTGTTATGATCTGTAGTGCTCACCACAGGGGACAACGGAAGGTTGTTCCACAAGAAGCAGTCAGAGTTGGCACTAACTCAAATTGGGCAATAACTCATGCCTGTTTTTATTCCTCTTTCTAAAACTCCCCCTTTCTCCCCTTAATCCAAACTCTCCTCTTCTAAGAGGTTCTGATATAGACAGTTGGCCTCCCCTGCTTGGGGATTCTCTGACCTGGCCACATGGGAGGACAGGCCTCTGCTTCACTCAAGCTCTCAAATGCCTTCAACCTTCTCACTTTCAACAGCATGCCAAGATTTTTACCCCTCGAGAGCGGCTGTTTGTGTAGGATCATAAACTGATTTATCATCCTAAAGCTGCCTGGCTGGCGTCCCTCCGTCTGTGTATTCTGAGACAGCTTTGCCTTTGTTTCCTCTATCTGTCTCTGGACTCTGGTTTCCATGTGTTGACCTTAAGGGGCCAGGACCAGGTAATCATGAAGTAACTCTGAGTCAGCCACCTTCATCCATCCAAGCTCTGTAGCTTTCACCAATACCTCCCAAGCATTCAAAGGCATCCTCTCTTCATAGTAACTAAAAGCTTAGTTTGGATCCCTTGGCTCATATCTATACTTAGAGGATATTTTTGCCTGTAGTGTTGATCTGGCTGCCTGGAGGTCCACCCACCAGCCTCTCCCTTTTAAACTGGATCTTATGTAAACCAGGCTGTCTTTGAACTCACTCTATAGCTGAGGATGACCTTAAGATCCTGACTCTCTGCCTCCACCTCCTAAGCACTGAGATCACAGCACGCACTACCATGCCAAGTTTGTGCAGGGCTGGAGGGCTGGACCCTGGGCCTCCTGCATCTCAGATAAGAACTCTACTGAGCTTTGTCTTCAGCTGTCACCTCTCCCCCAGGCATCTGGTAACCTTTGTGGCCTTGGTCTCTTCTGATGATTCCTTCTCTCAAAGGTAAAGGAGTTTATGTTGATATAAAACAAATTTAAATATTGAAACTGATGTCTGGAATTTGCCTCCAAGTTTATGCATTTGTGTTCAGTCACAACCTCACTTTTTTTATGCTTTCTTATCTGTTCAGTTTTTAAAATAAGCTTGAACATGTCCCTCTCTCCAATGCCAACCCAATAAACTCCCAATACTACTCACGGTTAATCAATTTTTAAGATGCCCTTAGGCAGCTTGGGAAATGGCTCAACAGGTGCTTGCTCTGCAACTTGACCTGAATTTGGATCCCCGGCATCCACACAAAAACCAAGACTAGTAGCATGTGTTTGTAACCCCAGCAATTGGGAGGTAGAGACAGGTGTGTGTGTGTGTGTGTGTGTGTGTGTGTGTGTGTGTGTGTGTGTTAGGGGGGGGGGTTTCTTGTCATCCAGTCTAACCAAAGTTGTTCAGTAAGAGACCATGTCTTAACACAACACAACAAAACAAAACAAGGTGGGGATCAATAGAGGAAGGCATTTGGCATTAACTTCTAGCCTCCACATTCATGCCCACATGTACTTGTACACATATGTGTGCACGCCCGAACATACTCCACATATACATACAAAATTTTTAAATACCCTCTATCATGGAAATTTTAACATATTGTTTACATATGTGAATCCATTGATTCTCCTTTCGTATTCACACCTAAAAGTATTGCATACCTATGTGCCACAAACAGAGACCACAGTGGAAGATTACATTACAGACTTCTGTGGCCTGTCTTTGACTACAGATTCTGCAAAAGAATTATGTCCACTAGCTACACATTACAATGCTGAGCTTTAGTTTTTAGGGTTCTGAGCAATGCTGTTATGGCTAAAGCAGCCACTCTAGCAATAGTCACTCTAGCAACAATCAAGGAACCACTTGTATTGACATCCACTGATCAGCTGGTTCAGCTGGCTTGGTTCTAAGAGCTTAACCCAGTGGCTTTCAATTCTGGCCGAATGGTAGAACTACTTACTTAGGGAGTTTTTTTTTTTTTTTTTTTTTTTTTTCCCGAAACAGGGTTTCTCTGTGTAGCTTTGGAGCCTATTCTGGCACTCGCTCTGGAGACCAGGCTGGCCTCGAACTCACAGAGATCCGCCTGCCTCTGCCTCCCGAGTGCTGGGATTAAAGGCATGTGCCACCAGCACCCGGCTTCTTAGGGAGTTTTTAAAAATCACCAATACTCAGCCCTTTCCACAGACCTCTCAAGGAGAAACTGTTGTGGCTGTGAGCCACTCTCTGGGTCACACTGAGACACTACCCTGCTGAGCACAAGACACCCCATTAACTCATCGACCATTTGGTGCAGTACCTTGGATTTGTGCCTTTTGAAAAATCACCTGGGGATAGTAGAACTCTTTCTAATTTAAGATCACAACCCATCATTTATTTCGTCTTCATTTTGTTCTCTTGGTTTTTGTCCTTTTATTTCTGGCATCTTCCGTTCCATAACAAATCCTCTCTTTGATGTGCTTAGGCAATCTCTCATCATAGGCTAGGAATTTCCTGTCAGGTACTCACTCTTCCCCCAACACTGTCCATGGAGAGTCCTAATTTCTTATTTGTATTCGTTCAGCATGCTGTGACACTCTGTCCTTGTCACTTGGACTAGTTTTGCCCTTGATGAAATGTGTGTTTACCACACTACTGTTACAGATGTCTACCCAGAATCCCTTTCCCTCTGCCGTATTTACAGAGCTCTTGTACTTCTGAGGGTTATTTTCCATTCCTCATGCCAGTGCTTGGTTCGGAATCTAGGTTGATCAGCCCCAGGAACCCCTTTGGCCACAGGAACTGGTCCTGTGATCCAACAAAGGCTACTGATACCAGGGCAGACTCAAGGCAGGACACTTGATGAGACCTGATGAGCAAGCTATGAGAAACAGCATTCCTTCTGTCTTTGGGGACAGTGCTGCTCAAGGAGAAAAGCTGGCTCTAATTACCACAGCCAGGGAAGCCAGTCTAGAATGGTAGTGACCCAAAGAGGACAGAACAGCTTAGGAAGGCAGGATGAAATGGAGACACAGCCACCATGTTAAGTCCCCTCAAGCCTTCTATTGGAATGGCCAATTCTGTCACTGACTGCATTTATTCTTATTTATAGTAGAAATCACTGTGACTGCTGTCTGCCATATATTCATGCAGCAGGTAAACAGGATGCAGGTTTCTAATATTCTATATTCTTTCCCTTGTCTTGAAATTATCACTGTCTGCACAAAGAAGTTAGAGATGCTAACTCTCACTTTTCTCATAGGGGTTCATTACTTCCCAATGCTTACTGCACATTTCAAATGTTATAAAAGTTAAAGACTTTTCTAAACCGGCCATCTAGTTTCAATAGTTACTGGCATCTTTCTTTGTATTTGATATGTCTGTTCTAGACCTACAACTTCCCTGAATCATTTGAAAGTGAGACGTGATATTTTGACATTTTACGTTAGACACTTCAACTATGGCATACACCTCCTATGGACCGTTAACACACTATAAAATGTAATAATTCTTCAAAAATCACCTTAGTAGATAATGCTTACTCACAGTTTTCTATTGGTCCTTAAAATTGTCTTTGCAGTGCTCTCTCTCTCTCTCTCTCTCTCTCTCTCTCTCTCTCTCTCTCTCTCTCTGGAAACACACAAACATGCTGGGCAGTGGTGGCACACACCTTTAATCTCAGCACTCTGGAGGCAGAGGCAGGCGGATCTCTGTGAGTTCGAGGTCAGCCTGGTCTACAGAGCGAGTACCAGGATAGGCTCCAAAGCTACACAGAGAAACCTGTACTACATCATTGTAGATATTTTCCTTGGCCTTCCCTGACACAATATTCAAAATGGATGGACTAGATTCTATATTATGTAGTAGTTCCCTCAATTCCTCCTTTTATCAGTTTCTTTGCTCAGAAATTAACTCACGGGGAAGCAACCCATTTAATATCACAACACTGAGGGCAAAGGGTCAGACCTTCTTATGCAACAGAATTCCAACTAATAAACAATAGCTAATAAACAATAAACAATTCCAACTAATAAACAAAAACTAAGTTCCAGAAATGACTGTTGCAGGCAAGATCTAACCAGTGCTGGTGAAATACACGACACAAAGGACTTTAACCAAGTAACCTAAACCAACTCAACAAACAATAAGGCATTGGCATCATGTCCCACTTGACATGGCCCAGAGGCAGGCAGAGTACAGCCTTTGTAGATTGTCTGAAAAATTCCATAACTTCAATTTAACCACAAGAAAACCTCAAACACACCCACATGGAGGAACAGTTCTACAAAATAAGGGCTGGTGTTCTTCCAAAGCATCGTGTTGAGAGAAACTAAAGAATGATTCTACCTCGGAAGAGACTGAGGATGTATGACAACCAAATGAAGTATGGATCCCAGGTTTGGACTTGGCAGACATTAGTGGGACAATCGGTTAAGTTTGATTCTTAAGATACAAAAACCAGTTGGTAATATTGTATTAATGTTATCTTTTTTTGCTTAGATAATGGTTTTATAGTTGTGATGATAGCATCAGGGAGGTTTCATGAATACTTGCCTCATCATCATCTTAAAGAAACCCATAGTGAATGTGAATTTTTTAAAACTAGTTAATGTGAAGTGATCAAATGTGAAACCCGACTAAGAACACAACTAAGGTGTGTTGAAGCCACGCTCCTCACCTGAGAGTCTCTGTCCTCTCACGAACACACTCCCATTTCTGCTCAGCTTGGATTTCGAGTCCGATCCAGAACGCCCCAGGTTAAATATTGACTTCCACTTCTTTGATTTACTGGAAAGCTTTCTCCTAAAATAGCCAAGCCATATGGGTAAGTTGAACTTGTCATTTCAAGGCAGAGTTGTGTTTTGAGAGAGGGTCTTCAGTAGACCAGACTGGCTTGAACTCATGATCATTTCCGCTTCCGTCTCTCAAGGGGGATTGCAAATCAAGAGAGAATATTACAGTTATAGTCTCAGTCACGGATGGCTTTGATAGTTCTAGAAGTTTCCCTCTAAAATCCAAGTTGCACCTGATGATAGCCTGTCTGGGGATGCCCTGGGTGTTCAAACAAGCTAAGGCAAAGACTCTTCTCCTTGGAACGACAGCCAAAGTCTGCTGTCAATCAAAGGCAGGGGTGGGAGACAAACAAAGGCAGCAGTCAGTGGGACACTCAGAGATCACAAGCAAACATAAAGTTCTGAAATCTGGTAGGAAGTCTTTGAGGCACTGTAGTCCTGGCTCTCCAAACATGCTGAAGTTTTTTTTTTTTTTTTTTTTTAGAGGGGAAAAAAAGCCAGTAAACATGCCTTTAATCCCAGCACTAGGGAAACAGAGGCAGGAGGATTTCTGTGAGCTCAAGGACAGCCTGGTCTACAGAGTGAGTTTCTGGACAGCCAGGGCTATGTATAGAGACCCCATCTCAAACAAACAAACAAGCAAAGGCATAAGCAATTAGGACCATAGAGCCCAGTCCTGTGCTTTCTGCCTGGTGGCCATATGGCTAGGATAAGCACAGGTGAGGTGAGGACTGATTAAAAACTCCAAATGGAGGGATGAGAAAGTAGGTCAGTAAAAGAATGTGTTCTGGTGCTGCTGGGGTAGCCGTAGCTTGCCAGCTTGGTCAGTGGTCTTGGTAAAGAAATGCATGAGGGTCAGTACACATTCTGCTCAGCCTCCTCCCAGGCTACTTGGGGATGGGGATATGGGTAGCTAACACAGCATTGGACTGGCTCATGAGAACCTAGTACCACCAAGGGTTACCACAGAGGCAAGTCCTGCTTCAGATCCACCCAGCCAGGTTATGGAGTGAAGTTCAGGGTGAAACCCTGTAACTTGGGGTTCTCATAAGGGACCCTTTCTCTACAGAGCTCCTGTCGAGCACTGGGTCTCTGCTTTAGTAGGTCTTCAGGATTGGTCAGAGACAAGTTTGCATACTTGTTGGTTTCTCTCTGACTTGGCTTGATAGCCTGCCTCGGGGTGTATAGTACAGAGCAGCACATATTAGGCTGTTATGGCTCTGGGGCTGAAAGCAGAGAAAATGCAGGAGATGGTTCCTCTGAGGCCCCCTTCTTCTCCCTTGGGAGGGAGTCTTATTCTGTATTGATTTAGAGAGGGGTTGTGCATTTAGTTCCAAGGGAGTACAATTGGTCCTTTCTAGGAAGCAGTGTTTTCCCGGGGAAGTTGAGGCATGTCATTCCTACAGTACAAGCCTCCTCTAGTTACCCAGGGCGGCAGACTGTTTCTTCTCTAAATAGCTTACTATCTTGGGGAAGGAAATGGCTCATGAAACAGAAAGGATGACACTGGCCAATAAAAAGGTGCCTTCACCTACTGCCTGCTACAGGTGTACGGGACTAGCTCCAATCAGTGCCTTCTTCCATGGTGGGGTACAATGAGTAGGCAGAGACTGAGGTTGTAGCCAAAGAGGAAATAAGGAAAGAAGATGCCCTATGGCTACCAATGATGATTTGTTTTGAAAGGGGGAAGGACCAGGGAAATGGGTCAGTCAATAAAGTGCTCGACACTCAGTCTGAAGACCTGAGTTGGATCTGAAATCCCAAGTAAAAAGCTGAATATGGGGGTACATGCTTGTAATCCCAGTGCCTGGAAGGCAAACACAGGTGAATCCTTTGGGCTCACGAACTAGCCAGACTAGCCTACTCCATGAGCCCCAGGCCAGTGATAGACCATGTTTTAAAAAAGGAAAAAAAAAAGAGTAGGCATTATCTGAGGAACAAGCAGTTCCCTGGCCTCCACACACCTGCAAACCTGGACACATGTCTACATGAACACATCCAAGCATGCATATAGACAGAAATGGAGGGTGTTCTCTGGCAGTTGAGAAGAAGCAAGGAAGTCAGAAATGCCATCCTCAAGTGCTGTTGCCAAGAACTCTCTGACTAGAGTGACCCTATTTGTCAACCTGTATTCTGTCGTAGGCTCATCTCTATGCCTTTTTCAGTGTTACCATGAGGGGTGGAGGCCGTGGGGAGGGAGGGAAGTACTTACTGTGGCAACTCACTTTTGTAAACTCCAGGCCTGTTTTGTCTACTCTACGGTAAAGAGACTCCTGACTCACATGGTAGCTTGGGTCTTTTCAGGTCTTTGGCAGGGTACCAGAGTTCACACTAACTCAGGGAAAGTGGGTGAAGGCATCACTACGGATGATGGTGAAAACTGTGGAGACAGCCCCCTTTTCTTCTAGAACATCTCTTTGTACCCCATCTGGGCTGCACCGAAACCCATTCTGCTGTCACTCACGGCCCCCAGACAGGACGCCTCACCTCCTTTGTTCCCCTCCACCCACAATTCAGAATTCTGTAAGAATGCCAATTACTTGCTGTCTGGTACATCAAGGACTGTGTGGAAGAGGGTGCCCATGGGAGGGACGATTTCAGGCAGGCTATTCTCTCGTCTTTCCTTTCGAGCAGGGTGGTTTATCGCCAAGCTTCGGGCCTGAGCCTCCTCCAGGCTTACTAACTTCATGGGCAGGGACAGGGCCGGCAAGGTCAGGCTCTTTGTGATACGGGCTTCTGTAAACAAAACAAAGCAGACAAAAAAAAAAAAAAAAAAAAAAAAAAAAAAAAAAAAAAAAAAGTTCAGCTTATGAGCAGGTCCGAACTCCAGGCCTAGTTAGATCTCTCATCTATAGCCCTTTCCACTTGAACTTCTCGACAGGCCTGAATGCCAATGACAGCTTTTCTTTGGCACAGGGGAGTCTAGGGCAGAGATTGTGCACAGGACACTGTTGGATTTCCTGCTCACTGCAGGTTGAGGGCAAAGATGGGCCGCAGGAGGTAACTGCTTTCTGTAGTTTCCATGGAGTGACTGGTCATAGAATCATTCATTCATGCACAAATACTTGCTGAGCACTTACTGTGATCCAGTGTTACAGCAATGGGTCTTTAATCCTGAAAACTCTGCTAAGTGTTTTGGTCAGTGAGGCATGTGGCTTAACTAAGGCAGAGTAAGGTGGCTGCCTCTCCCCCCACAACCAAGGAACACATTAGGCCATGGATGTCTGGAGTCTACTTTTCCCAGGCATCTGTTTCTAGAGGGACAGGTCATTTATATATCGTATACATATTACCTCAGAGAGAGATGGCTCTTTCTTCAGCCCCTACTTGTCTTGGAGTGTTTATATTATAGCCAGTTGTCCCTCCTCTGGAGTGTTCCTTTCAGGGTGGAAGTGATGAAGGCATGGCTGATGTACAAGGTTCTCCCTTCTTTGCCAACAGTTCTGAACTTGAGGCAATTTTACAAATCCTCCCCTCACTCAACCCAAAGGCATTTGGCAACATCTGGAGACATCTTATTTTACTTTTTTTTTTGAGATAGCATCTCGTGTAGCAGTTTGCTGTGTAACCAAAGATAACTTTGAACTCATGATCCTTCTGCATCCACCCCTCCATTGCTGTGACTACAGGTGTATGCCACCGTGCCTGGCTCTGCAGAGGTCTTCTTCTAAATAAAGTATTATTTATATGTAGGTGTCTACTTGAGTGTCTACACATGAGTGTACAGGTGACTCAGAGGCCAGAGCTGGAGTTACAGGTAGTTGTGGACTGCTGGAATCCAACTCCAGTCCTTTGGAAGAGCAGCAAGGGCTTCTAACCACTGAGCAACCTGTTTGGTACCCCCTGAGGACATTTTTGATCATTACAAATGCATGTGAAAGAGTTACTGACACCTAGTATCTGGGGCACTTTCTTGATTAAGCATTGATGTGTGAGGGCCCAGCCCATTGTGGATAGTGCCACCCCTACGCAGTTGGTTTTGTGTATAAAAAAGCAAGCTGGACTAGCCATGGGGTGCAAGCCAGTAAGCAGCACTCCTCCATGGTGTCTGCTTCAGCTCCTGCCTCTAGGTTCCTTCCCTGACTTCCCTTCATGAAGGATAATGATCCTTTATTTATTTATCATGTATACAGTGCATGCAAGAAGAGGGCACCAGATCCCATTACAGATGGTTGTGAGCCACCATGTGGTTGCTGGGAATTGAACTCAGGACCTCTGGAAGAATAGTCAGTGCTCTTAACCCCTGAGCCATCTCTCCAGCCCGCAAAACCCTTCTTAAATACAAATGGTCATTGAAACAATTCTGATTCCTGACCAGATTCCTGATTTTTTAAAATATAAATGAAGCTCACAGAAGTTCAAACAGCACAAATGAGTTCACTCCCAGAGTTCACTATGCTATTATGAACCATTATGAGCCACGCATCAACACCCATATTTTTGTATGCTTCCTGCCTGATACAGGACAGGATAAAGTACTTGAGAAATGGTTGCCTAGAGAATGCGTTCCAGATCTACACATGAGTAAGGACACGGCCTCTGCTCACTTGCGACTTCAAGGGGGAGGCATAAGGCTCTTCTACACATAGTGAAAACCACACAAGAAAAGGATGTTGCCCATCCCTTTACACAGTAAAGAACTCACTAGAAAGAGAACATTGTCCCGATTCTACCACCACACCACATTCCAGGGAGAGACCATGTATGCACCTGATCAGAAACCTGCTAAAGCCACATGCCACCGTTGCTGTATCACACAGGTACATATCTAACACCATCATGGTGGCCAGTAACTGCGACACTATAATGGTGAATTATCACAGATAACAACACACAGCAGTCAGTACACAATACAGTACTCACAATCAGAACTAAAGCCAAGCCCACCCTCACGTATTACTATTTGTTTGAGACAGTGTCTCATATAGAAGTGCAGAGTGGCCTCTAACTCTTTATGTAGCCAAACCTGACCTGGAGTGCCTGCTTTTCCTGCCTCTACTTTCATACTCACTTATTTGGGGGGTCTAGGATTAGGGCAATAAAGGAGGTTAGGTATGTGGGGCATATGCCCTGGGGAGCCATTACCATCCTGCTGCAGAGGCCCTGGAGCACCACTGTTGAAGATTTGATCGGCATGGTTCAGTATGAATTCAATCACCACCTGCTGGACCCGGACTGCCAGAAAGGCTGCATCTCCATTGTATATAGTGGCTTCGATCTTTTTACACCTGCACGAAAGAAATGCACCCAGAGTGACTCTGCCTTACAACAGGAGGCATCAAGCATGACTGATGGGCCTTTTGTCTGGGCCACATATTTTAACTTTTCATGACCAATCAGAGTGAGTCTCCCAATGGTAGTGAAGCCCAACCCACTGACTAGACTAGAAATCACTGTCACATGGTCTACAAGTGTCACATGGTTACAAGTCTATAAATGAACAGGACTGACTTCTTTTTACTTCCTGGGACTCCCTTCCACCTTTATCCAGCTGTCCCATGGGAGCTGCATGAATCAGCTGATTGAAGTTACAGGCATCGGTTACCTCAGCAAAGCCAAGAAAACCAATGAGCCCCAGAGACAAAAATAGGCCTTTTCAAGAATTGGTAACATACAGACCCATAACTTTAGCCATACTGGGATTATAGCCAAAAAGTGCTTTTGGAACCAGAGTTTCCAAGCAAGCAGGCCAAGAGCTTATGCTTTTAAAGGCACGTTTAATTCATACATGCTACAAAAAGATCACTGAGCCATAGGCCTGTCTTCCAGGGTTTTAACTGTGAAGCACCCAGGCTTTGTTTCCACTCAGAGTATTGTGGGCTGCTCTGATCCTGTGAGGTAGTAGTTACCTGAGGAGATTCGGGGCCCACACCAGGGCCAGGTTCCTGGCATGCATGTTGGTCTTGCTGCTGAATGAGGCGATGTGGGCCAGGTGTCGAATCAGGTATTCCAAGGTCCTGAAATGGTTCATTTGTTGGTTGGATTTTGGGTAAAGTAAGAAATGTCAGCACCTATGTGACATCGGTCACTTGAAGGTCACTTCTAAGTTGGGGTTTAAGACACCCTATATTATGAATTTTGAAGGAACAGTGGGAAGAGATCAAGATTGATGAAGGTAGCTTTCTTGACTCCAGGGTCACTGACTCAGGATGGGGACAGGTGTCAGTGTTGTCAGATGCCACCTGTCCATAGAGCAGATCCATAGACAGGGACAGGGAATCACAGACCACACACCCTGAGCTGTTGGTGAACAACTTGCTTCTTTTCCACACTGGGACAATTCATCTCCCCACACTCCTCAAAGAGGTTCTCATCTCGATTCTCAGAGGACATCCCTATAGCTACAGATGAACTTGGTTCTTGTTTACAGACTCATTTCACAGACAAATGTTTGTTGACCACAAAGAAGTTCTTTTTTAACACCACATCAAACCCCGCCCCCTTTTGAAAGGTGGGTGGGTACAGGTAGCACTGGGAAAATTAGTACCATTTGGGCTCATCTGTGAGAATAGAAAGGATGGGGACGACATCTGGGCTAACTTTAAGGAGCCAGCAGATAACAAAGCTCAAGAGTCACAGTCACCCCCAGCTTTAAGGCCATCTGGGATTCCAAGGTTTGTTTATCGTATAATTCTGGTTGTGAACCAAGGATGTCACCATGAGGCTGGCTTGTGTGATAGGGATGACTTCCTTTGGGACTCTGGTGAGTGTCCTGCAAATGGAGACAGGTTGCCCTTGGCTGCCAATGTCCCTGGTTGAACACCTGCTCATCCTGATTAACACTGACTGTTCATCAATTTCCAAATGGGTCCAGGAAAGGCACCATCTATGTGCTTCGGTTGCCACACCTCCTCATCCCCTTGACGTTTTATCACACTGAGTCTGAATGTTTCTTTCTTACCTATAATGCGGTGGGGGCAGCTCCTGGATAATGTTCTGGATTCGGGCCAGCTGGCCTTCTTCCGGGCAATGAGATACTGCTTCCTGTGGGGAAGAACATGAAGTATCCAGTGAGCACCCAGGAGCCAGCGCCCTTCCTGCACGTGTTGGTCTTCATCAGGACTAGGTCCCCTCCAGCCTTACAGCTGTGTGCTTGCACATTCCCTCCCAGAAGTGTTCTTCTCTGTGCCAGCTGCCAGCCAAATGCCCTTTCCGAGCTTCACGGAGCTGACTGTCTTCACCTTGTATGCACACAGAAGTGGGTGGGTCTCTATGTGCCCTCATGTGTTGTTTGGTGTCTGGGAAAGAATGTATAGGATCTAAAAGTGTCTTGCATGGCAGAGGGTCACAGAAACTCACATTCAGAGAGACAGCGTTAGACAGAGATGTCACAGGGACACAAGTCTACTCAGCCCTTGTGGGTGTTAACAGCTACTTAACTTGTCACCTAGCCTGTGACTATTCTGTGATTTCCAGTCCTCGGTTGCTGCCTGTTTTGGCTGCCAAGAAGCAGAGAAGACGTGCCTTCCTTATCGGGGCTGAGAGTTTTGTCCCCAGGATCTCGTGGCCTTGCCCTGATTTACTATCTGCTTATATCCTGTGTGGGCATTTTGTTCCCATCAGTCCAGGGCCTTGCAGGGGAGCAGGAGCACCATGAGGACAATGTGATAACAGGCTGGCTCATGTCCATCTCTCACTAGCCTGAGGCTTCTGTGTGACACCAGCATCTCTGAAGATTCTTTCGTTCCAGCCTTGTTTCCTCTCTTGAGACTAGATTCTGCCTGTGTGCAATGATTAAAATTGATGGCTAATTTGACAGGATCCAAAGCCACTGAAGAGACAAGTCTTTTGGCATGTCTGTGAAGGATTATCTAGATTAGGTTAATTGAAGGGAGGAGACACACCATAAATATGGACAGCACCATTCCATAGGTGTCCTGAATACAAAGGAGACATAGCTGCCTCCTGCTCTTGCATTTACCTTGATAATCACAGCCAGCAGCGGCTGCAATAGAAGCAAAAAAAGAAGATTTGAATCTGTGGGCTTTGTGCACTGTTCACCCACATTTATTTATTAGCTGGCATTTCCGGCTTGCGCAGGGATTCTGTAGCACTGGGTGTGGCTTAGTGGGAGAACATTTGCTTAGCATTCACAAGGTTCTGCCAGCCCAACAAAACAAATAATCAAACAAATACAGAGTTGCTTGTACTGCACTGTATGATTTGGTCATGACTGCAGCTTCTCAGAAGGGTGAAGCAGGAAGGCCATGAGTTCAAGGGCCTCCCTAATAACATATCAAGATCCTGTTTTAAAAATTATTATATTTACTATTATTTGTGTGTGGGTACATTTTACACAAGGTATATATGTGAGGCTGAGAACAGCTTGTGGGAGTTGGTTGTCTCTTTCCATGATGTGGATCTCAGGGATCAAACTCAGGTCATTCAGCTTGGCTGCAAGCTCCTTTAGCCACTGAGCCATCTTACTGTCCTTTGTCTTAAAATTTAAAAAAGGGCTGTGGGTCTGGATCCACAAGCAAGTGTCATAAAGCACTTGCTTACCATGTGAGAGGCCCTGGTCTAGTCCCTGGCACTACAAAACAAACAAAATCCCATCAACAATTAATATTCGTGGTTATATTCTTAGTAGTGATAGTTTTTAGACATTTACTACTCACTGAAAGCAGAAACCAATTACCATTCCTGGACACTCGTTGTTTGCTGGGCCCTTCTCTAAGCCACATCCAAGGTATATGTTCTGACGTAAAAGGATTCTAAGGTCCTGCCTGGGTCTCCCTCACACTCTTGTCCCTGCCCCCACACCACCCCTGTGATGGACAAGGTATGTGTCAACATGCTCCAGCTCCCTCATGCATTTATTTGTTTCCTAACTAAAATTTAAAGTAAACCTAAGAGTGACGGGTTTCATGATGACATTTTAATTCTGTGGACACACGGGCACCAGCCAGAGTTCTTGTCTACCTATGTCCATCTCTGCCTTATTCCCTTGAAACAGGGTCTCTCGCTGAGCCTGGAGCTTTACAGTTAGCCCCAGAGATCCTGATGTCTCCTGCACCACTCCACAAGTGTCTGTGACTTCATCCAGGTTACATGGGCGATGAGGACTCAGGTCCTCATCCTGTGCATTAAGTGCTCTTACCCATGGACCTATCTCCCTAGCTGTCATCAATGGGAGTAAAACTATTATCTGTATCTATCTTTATATGTGCCCACTATTTTAAAAGGCAGCCAGACACCTCAGTGTGGAAAATTTGAGTTATCTTTTCCTGAGAAGAGGGAAATGTGGTTGGAATGTCATAGGCACAGCTTGCACCCTTCTGGTGGGTGTGCCTTCTGTGAAGAGAGCCGGCACCAGCACTTCTGTCCTCTCCACTTTGGGAGATGGACAGCATCGAGGGGCAGGGGTGTGTGAGGCCTCTATGATGGAGCCCCACCCCTGCCTTCTCATTCCTGGAGCATTAGAAAACAGAATCTCAGGGACCACACTCCCTCCCAGCAGGCAGGGAGAAGCTCACAGGGGAAGGGAAAGAGAGCCCTCCAGACAGCCAGGGCTGCAGAATACAGCCTGGATCTTCACGGTTTGGTTTCATGGAGCAACACACAGGGAGAGTTCGGGAGGCTGTAGACTGTCCCTGCACAGTCAGGGCCAAGGTCTGCAGGGCCTCATGCCATTCCCCTCTTTTAAAAGCTGCCTAGAGCCAAATGTTGGGGCACTTGCCAGTAACAGCAATGGAAAACTGAAAGATGAATCTAGGGACTAAAAGTGCAGGTGGTGATAGCAGCCCTTATGGAAAGTTCCTTCAGTATTTTAGGGAGCAATTTAGTCATTGGCATTCTCTTAATCCTGTGTTTTGCAACCTGTGGGTCATGACTGTGTGTGGGAGGGTTGAATGACCCGTGCACAGGGATCACCTAAGACCATTGGAAAACATAGACATTTACATTATGATTCATAACAGTGGCAAAATTACAGTTATGAAGTTGCAGTGAAAATAAGTGTATGGTTGGGGGTCACCACAGCATGAGGAACTGTACTAAAGGGTCACAGCACTAGGAAGGTTGAGACCCACTCTCTTAAGCGAAGGGGTACACTGATCCCTGATGTTCGCTGGGCCCAGTGCGAAGTGCCTTTTATTTCTGTGTTCACAATCTCTCCCCACTGCACACAGCACCCTCCACAGAGACTTACTTTCTTTTACTTTGCATTTAATTACTTAACCAGACAGGGTCTTTCTGTGTAAGCCAGGCTGGCTTTGAACTCTCAGTCTTCCTACTCAACCTCCCCTGAGTGGGTATTATGGGAGGGTGACACCAAGCTTGCTTTAAATCCTTATTTTTCTCTAGGAGGAGATCTGGCCACTGCAAATTCACTTTGGGTTTGTGTTCCCCAACTAAAACAGCAGACCCTATTGTTAGGCATTTTTGGGAGAAGAGTTGAAGTTTTACCCACTCTAATTTTTGTATGTGAGTGTGTGTGTGTGTGTGTGTGTGTGTGTGTGTGTGTGTGAGTGTGTGTGTAAACTGGAAGAGAAAGCTGGCCAACCTGGCTAATGTTTCAGTCTCAAAGATCTGCGCACGCTCGTGTGTGTATGCAAGTCAGAGGAGAGTATGTTTTATACCTGCTGAGCCATAGACTCCCTGGGTACAATATTAAGTTTTATCAATTACTTAAAAAATGATTATAGGGGCTGGAGAGATGGCTCAGAGGTTAAGAGCACCGGTTGCCCTTCCAGAGGTCCTGAGTTCAATTCCCAGCAATCACATGGGGGCTCACAACCATCCATTATGAGATCTGGTGCCCTCTTCTGGTGTGCAGATATACATGGAAGCAGAATGCTGTATATATAATAAATAAATAAAATCTTTAAAATTGATTATAAATCATTTCTATTAAGTTATTTGACACCAGAACTAGGTTTTTAAAAGGTAATAATCAGAAAAAATGATAGAAAAAGGTTAATTTTTCTTGGTACTACAGACCTTCAGTCTCTGGGGGATAATAATTACTGTGTGGCTTCCAGATAGTCCTTGTGAATACATCTTTGTTACATCTATGGATGTAATCAATACCGGTTGATCAAGCTCTCCTGTGACTCCTCTCTCCCATTTCCCATCACGGCCACCTGACTCACTCCATGCCAGACACTGGTCTCTACAGGTTCTCTCAAGCTCAGCATCTCCCCACCCCCAGGCCAAGGCCTTTGGACCTGCTGTTTCTTGCTGTCACCCACTTCACCAGATACTGGTGTAGTATGTTCCCTCACTCTATCCCTATCTGTTCAGATTCTGCCTCATGGAGAGAACTCTGTTGACCCTAAAATAGCAGTCCCTGACAGTTCGTGTCTCCCCAGCTATTTTCTTCATTGTGTTCATTAACAGCTCGCATGAAACATCTGTGTATTACAAGTTTATCATTTCTCTCTCTCTCTCTCTCTCTCTCTCTCTCTCTCTCTCTCTCACACACACACACATTTAAATAGAACTTTCAGTAAATAAGGCTGTATTTGTCTCGTTCACCATTAAATCTCTAGGCTCCAGAACTGTGCCTTCCAGCTGCCTGCAGAAGGCCCTAACAAACAGCTCTTGAATGGAATAAACAATCGAATGAGTCAATATTTTGCTTTACGCTTAAAAATGGCAGACAGCCACATGTGGGCCACACCTTGAGGACAGTGTCACCTAGGAGCACTCTCCATTATGATGAGCACTGCCTTGCTGGGATCAACCCCTCAACCTTAGGCCCCTGGCAGGGTGGCCAATCAGTTTGTTTTCCCCAAGGGTAAGGTTTCTGCAGATGAGGGTCTTTTTTTTTGTTCTTTTTAAAAAATGTTTTCAAAGATTACTTTTTATTTTTATGTTTATGTGTATGAGTGTGCTTGCAGGGCTTATGAATCTCTCTGGCATGGAGGCTAAAGGGCATGAGATCCTCTGCAACTGGTAGTTGTGACTCCCTGGTGCCAGGAACAGCACTCAAGTCCTTTTCTAGAGCAAGCAGTAAGTGCTCCGAACTGCTGAGCCATTTC